AAATCAATGATAACTGCACACTAAATTGAACTGCCCAAGAATACGACGACAAGCAAAATGTCGATCAACGCAAACGCTAAATCAGTAACAAGAACAACAATACCACCGAAACATCGACTGCAATCATCGTATGGGCGGAGTTATCCGGCGGATAGACCAATAAATGCAATTGTTCGATGTCTATAATCCTTATCCCCTATTCAACACACATCCTTCACGGATTTTTTTTTTGTTTTGCATCGCACAATAATCCTTCCTCAATATTATTGTGACCGAACTGATCTTCACCGCTTACCCTTGAAACCGAATGAAAGTTTCGGACTCCAACTGCAATCAGTTCAGTTTACTTGCTAGAACTTATTAAACTTTGTCGGTACTAAGCGATTATAAGTGTTGCAGGAATCAGTTCAGTAAGAAACTATCGAATCGAATCAAGCCAGTTCACTAAATCTATCTTGGATCACCTCATGTGTGTCATTACATTTGATTTATCAATCTATGATAGCACAAACACCTGATGCAATCGAAAGTGAACAAAGCAGCAGACCAGAAGTAATCAGATGCGGAAGCATGCACGAAAATGTATGTCGCCCAAAAGATTCTGTCTTATTCGCTTCGTGATCAAAATTTTATGAGGAAAGGACAGAACGACGACAATCAAGATTAGCATGACGATGCGTGATCATTCATTGAAGAGGAATACGCTTTACTTCCTGCATAATACTTCGACTTATTCAAATGATTATAAGGGCTGGTCGCACTTTACAGCCACTAATTGTGTTCTATATCGAAATATTCTGGGAACGAAAATTGTTCAAAAGCACTCGACGAGGAAAGAAATTAACCGATGATTTCTGTGTGAAGTAAAATTAGAACTTGCTCGAATATTCGAATAGCTATGATAGTGTCCTTCATAGGCTGTAGTCACTGCAATTAGACAAATCACTTCCTTTATGTATCAAAACAGCGATCATTTTGAGCTTAATTGGCATGTTCGTATGTGCGAATGCAGAGGGAATTCATTTTTATAGTCAACCATCTAATATATTTCCTTGCAACAAATAGTATTATTTTTATATCAACGGAACATTTCCAACGTTTTGCACACCTTATTAATTGTGAAGGTTTGAAAAAGTTTTAAATAATGATGATAATATATNNTCCTATTTCATGTAATTGATGATTTATTTCATCATCGCAAACCTATTTGAATATTCAGCATACAAGACCTGAACATGGTGTATTCTATGAAAGTGAATGTGTAAAAATGTGACACAACGCGAATGTGGTCATGATTAAATTTCTAC